CTATATACATAGACATAAAGGCATTTCACATTATTCCACAATCTGCTTTTCCCAACTTTCCATACCAGCCCATACATAAATTATTTAACACCTGCATGATTAAATGATAGGAATATATCAGAATTTAACCATTTCTTGTATTGGATCCTTGTATATATCTTTGCATAACTGTACTGGTATTTCTGTAGGAGTGATTTTAAAATGAGAAAGTCAAAGGGCATATGCATTTATAATTTTGCTATTATGCTTTCCATACACTGATACTTACAAATGGTTGACTTTAAACAATCCTTTTAAATGATACCTTTAAGTGGTATGAGTTCCTATGAAAGTCTAACATCAATGACTGATAGTAACAAATTTCTAAGTCTGCTTTGCTATAGTTTTATACTACTGAGCATTGTATATATATATTGAATAAAAGTATTTTCAAAATTCCATATAGTCAGAAGAATAAAACTACATACTAAAGTTCCTCCTGAGGGGCACCTGGGTGGCTCAGTCAGTTAAGCGGTTAAGCGTCTGACTTGGGCTCAGGTCATGATCTTGTGGTTTGTGAGTTCGAGCCCCGCATTGGGCTCTGTGCTGATAGCTCGGAGCCTGGAGTCAGCTTCAGATTCTGTGTCTCCTTCTCTGTCTGCCCCTCCCCTGCTCATGCTCTGTCTTTCAAAAATAAACATTTAAAAAAATAAAGTTCCCCCTGAGTTGTAAACATTTAAGCTCCTGAGTTAACAGCAGAAACTATTTCCATTTTTGTAATCCCAACATCTAGCACAGTACCTGGGAATGGAAGGTATCGGTATGTATCGGTGTGTGTTAAAGGAATAGTCAAAAACCAAAAGGAACTATAATACATTAAGTAATCACACCTCAGAAACCACATAGCTTTTGTTCCTCTTCATTTGACAATAGCCAATCCCGAAGAAGTCTGTAACATCTGCTTATTTTTTTTTAAATTAATTTTTGGGAGAATGAGTAGGGGAGGGGCAGAGAGAGAGACAGACACAGAATCCAAAGCAGGCTCCAGGCTCCGAGGTGCAGCAGAGCCTGACATGAGGCTTGAACTCACAAACTGTGAGATCATAACCTGAGTGAAAGTCTGATACTTAACTGACTGAACTACCCAGGAGACCCTACTTTCTTTAAACTTGAAAAAACTTCCCCTAAATCAAGAAGCATCTCTTCTTAGTGTTAAGCCTCTTTAGTTAAGTTAGCCAACGTTTAAATACTCAATGTAAAAACATTTTAAATGTGTTATATATTTCAGATAAGGAGTCTCCGCAATAGTTTTATCATTATTGTACTTGTTCAGGATTTCCTTACTAGAAACTAAACATTTGTTCATACCTAGCCCTAAAGGTGGGAATGACAAAAGTTTAAATGGGATGCCTCTTTGTTCAAATGGCTGCCAGTTCCCTTGGTCTACAGCAGAAACTCTACATGTTATCAACACCCAGGTCTTTTGTCTTTTCTGACATCCAGAGCCTAACTTAGCCCAGGTCTCTGGTTTGGCTTCTCCCATCTCAGTAATCTGAATTATTAGAAATTACTTATTCCAAGTAATGAGTGACACACAGTGAAGTTTCAGTGCATTCTCAGCCCATGCTGCTTTATTGCCAAGAAATATATATATACACACACAGGTGCAGAGTTTTCCAACTCATATACCAGTTCCCTTTTACATCAAAGAATAAAATTTCTTCTGAAATACAAAGGATGCATAGATTAATAAAGAAAGCAAGCTGCCTTTTGTAATACTTTAAACATTCAATGAAATTCTTTTAACATCGTACCAACGGTGCAATTGAAGAAAATGCAGAACAGCAAGTAAGAACAAGTGTACTTGTAGGACAGTAAGTAAAAATACGTGAATGATACCCTAATATGACCGTAAATGATGCGTGGTTTTAAAGTAAGTGCCAAGACTACTACTATTGTTGAAGGACTGACCATAATGTATTGCCACAATACTGTTCTTATCCGTGGGGAAAAATTGATGGCATGGCATACTATCACCAAAGGAGACAAAATTCTTTGAAAATTGCAAAATTAAGATATCTACTTTGATTTTAAAGGAGGTTTAGGAGTTAAGAGTTCCCAGAGAAATCTTTGATGCTTGGTTTTCTATTTTAATATGCTTTTGTGGAATAATGGGAACAGAGTAGGGAGAAACTTTCTTTATATCTTCACTGGTTTCAGTGGTTGACAACATTACCAATAAGTGGCAAAGAGAAAATTTACATACGGGACATGACATCTCACTTCCTGTACTTAAGTGGAGACTAAATACTGCAATGACTCTAAGTATAATTCAGCTCTGAACTACTAGAGCATTCCTGAAAGTATTTGGACTGAAATCCCACAGCAAAGGAAACAAGTTAAAATGACTTAAAATTATTTTTCAATTAGAGAACATGAAACCTGGGAAAGGCCTAGTGACAGTCATCTAGTCTAATTCTGAATTCTCTTCTGTTTTAGGCCACTCAGATATGAACTCCATTTGTACATTTTTTGTCATGATCACTTGCACTTACAAGGGTTATTTCTAAGTGAGGAATATCCTCAAACATTTTAAGTTACTACAATAAACTGATCTGTTTTCTGCATCAAGAAAATAAATGGCAAGGTTTTGTTTTGTTTAATTGGGAAAACCTGTTGCTGTTTACCTGGCATCAAAAGCCTTAGGCAACAAATTATGCAGTCTGAGCAAAAGATCATGGATAAAGCCCAGGCTATAAAATTTATAAAAACATAAAACGTTTATATAATATAGTAACAAAAGAGAAACCAAACCACAGGTTTGTCAATATTTTTAGCAGTTTCTACAAAATGGACCAGTCTCCTTTGCTGTAGGGAACGTTTATGGCTGGTCAGTGCCAGTATCATCCAGAAGAGTTGGCTGGTTATCTGTAAATCCTGCAACATCTGAAATATGTGCATTCACTTCCAAGATACTAATTTTAAGAGATCCCAACTTAAGCTACATAAATTTTATCAGACAAACACCATACTTCCATTATTTTATGTAATTCTACACTGGTATTCCCTACTCTCCTATGCTTTCTGAAACTCTGCACCTTTCTGATTACTAGAGCCATAGCAGCTTATTTATTTATTCAACATGCTTAGTTTGTTGCCTTAGTTTTGTTTTTAAACATGCTTGGGGACTAAGGGAAGCAGGCAAGAGGTTAGAGGGTGAGCACTATCATGCTCTCTATTCCTGACAGTTTGAATGTCTTGTGGTCGCCCCTGTTTATCTTCTAGCTCCCATTTTCAATGGAAGTTACAATAATCTTTAATTAGAAAATGAAAACTAATAATCCAAACAGTAAATTCAGGCTATTGGTTTAAATCTCTATTGCTTCATTAATAAATGCATATATATATATATATACACACATATATATCTACTAGTCACCATATAAGACTGGACATTTTCAATCATGCATTAGAATGTTAGTACTCTAAAATCAGAGTTATGGGCCTGCCTCTATTGCTTCCACTTTAATTCAGACCGAGTTTTAATAAACATGCAGAAAAGACCCCTTGATTCAGAGGAATTAGGGGAAATAACAAGGATGCATGCAAAGTTTCAACTGAAAATGTGGGTTAATAAAGTGATTGCTTAGAAATGCAGGCAGGGCAGGTGCTCCAGATCACAATCCTGTTTCAGAATAGAGGTACAAAGTCACACACAAAGAGGTTAAAATCAGGACCACTAGTCAGTTATAAAAAGCTTAATTGCAAATCCTGGCCCTTTTGGGTAAAGAATGATGTAAATACTCTGGGAAAAGAAAGAGAATTGAGCAGTAAGTTTTCTTGGCCATTTACTGACACCTATAGCATAGAAGAGCATAGGTGGTGTACTGATGAAGATGTTTTTAGGCAGAATGGTTTCTGATTCACATTAATGAGCTTTATCTGCACAGCCTCCTGGGGAAAGTGAGTTTATGAACAGCAGAGCTACTAAAATGTAAACTCAAAATCAATGCCCTGAAATTTAGCATAGACTTCTGCTTTTGAAAACTGTTGGCCAAGGGATCCTTCCAAATAGGGTATGGTTAATAGCCAAGCAATGTTCTGAATAAACTAGAAGCAATTTGCTTGCACCAGCAGCACCATGAGAATGTAAACTCCTGGAGGCCAAGGGTCTCTTCATATTTTGCATATCACAGGTACACAAAGAGTAAACATGAGACCACGACAACACTAAAAATAACCACATACTCAAAGACTACAAAAACTTGTAACACATTTTAGCATTTACAACTATAACGTGGCTCTTAAGGGTAGTCTTTAATTGTTCTAAGTAACTAAATTGTTGACATCACTATAATACACAGCGGTGTCCTCATGATCGTGCAGATGACTGAATATTGCTTGGTTATTCCAATGTCTCTAACACCAACTGTTGGTGTAAGACATTTAAAGAGGAGCTATAATCAATTTAATATAGCCTTCTCTCTATCCTTTGGAGTTGCCATATAAGAATTAAATATTCAAGAGGCATTATTTTCTTAAATCCACTCCACTTTTAGTTTTTTCCCTGGGAAAACAAGGGAACAGAGACCCAATCTTTTCAAGGACCTTCACGGTGCTAAATGGCCAAAATGAACACAAGGTAAAAGGATTAAGAAGTCAGCCTCCATTCCACTATTATATCCTGATGGAAGGCATGTGATCCTAAAATCAAGAAACTAGTCTGCTGAGCTCTTATTAAAATAAACAGTCACAGGCCAAAGTCCTCAGCACATCTACATCAGACAGGGTTTAAAAAGCCAACATAGGGGCGCCTGGGTGGCTTAGTCGGTTAAGCATCCGACTTTTGCTTAGGTCATGATCTCGCAGTTTGTGGGTTCGAGCCCCGCGTCGGGCTCTGTGCTGACTGCCAGCTCAGAGCCTGGAGCCTGTTTCAGAGTCTGTGACTCCCTCTCTCTCTGACCCTCCCCTGCTCACGCTGTCTCTCTCTCTCCTAGAAATAAATAAAACATTTAAAAAAATTAAAAAAAAAAAAAAGCCAACATACTGTCTTTGGCTATTGCCTTCAATCCTCTGCTTTACATCTTTAAATATAACTCCCCTAAACTAACCAAAGCCATAAGGAAAAGCCAGCTATCCAAGTCCCTGGCTTGTTTTAACCCAAACGTACACACATAGCTAACTTTACCTTTTTTAAAATGCACCCAGAAAACCAATGGGGAAAAGAAGAAGTGACAAACAATGAAGTACACTATTCTGTAGACGCTTGTTGCTGACAAGAACATCAGAAGCAAAGTCTCCACCTGATGGCTTCAGTGGAGCTACATCAGTAGTACATTTGTTTCCAGGTTAACCACTAGAAAATTTTCATTCAATGGCTCTAACCCTCTGCTTTAGGAAACAAATAGGGTCTCTAACCTTTAAACTTACACAAAAGTTGCTACTTCTCACACAATGATATATTCATATACATTCAGCTCTGTAAGTACCTTTTATATGTTCTTTGTCTAAAACATTTTTCCTTTTGTGCAACTCTGTTGATCACAGAGCTTCACAACCTCAAGTAATAATATTTATTCTACTGTACAACTTTGCTAATACAATTTACAAGCAAAACTGTTATTGCTACTAAAATTCTACCTCTTGAAAATTATTATTTTATGGCTTTTATTTTTTATTTTTTGCAGTAGGAACTATCCTTTCCTATATACTGTGCTATTTTGCATTCATTACCTTTTCAGAGGTATTTTAAAAAATGTTTAAATGCTTTTCAGAAATGGATTCTCCCAGGTAATAAACTTCTTGAGCCAAGAGTACAACAACTTTAAATACACTATGAGAATCTAAACCTGGGTCCCTGGATATCTGCTGCTGCAAAGTCTATTTGTTTAAGCTTGCTTCCGTACAGGAGACACACCACATTAGTTTTGCATTTCACATCATGGTAACTGTAGAACCTGTGTTAATAAATCCTGAACTCTCAGGATATGGAGATTTATAAATCACCTCAGGGAACTGCCCTTTCCAAGTTCTCAAGGCAGCTTTTAGAGGTAGGAATTTCTTTTCCACAGAAAACTATCCTATGCTTTCAGAACAAAACAACTTTTATTTCTACCAGGAAAGCAGAAAAAAGTGAAAGCTGTCCGAGGTGGCTTACTCTAATCAAGCAAAATAGAGTTATTACATGGCAACCTGGGTAAGCTTTATCTAGCTACATTCCAATTCTCGTGTAAAGGTCTGGAATCCCATCAACACACGATTCAGATTCTGAAACAGGAAAAGCCCGTGACAAATTAATGTAGGACACTGAACTACTGACCAGTGTTCTTCTATAACAAGTAGCATGCTGCAGACAAGAAATGTAAATGGTCTGCAGATTAGAAAAGCACTTGATAAACACAATATCTAAGACATGCAAAATATAAAAGAATTTCTTGATGCAAAAAGTGGATTAAATAATAAACTTATAAGACATACAGTGTGAAACAGCATAAAAACAATCTCATCTCAAACTGAGAGAGCAAAAAAGCAGAATCATGAAATGGGGACTCATTTTGATTTGAGGCTTCATAAGACACAAGGAGAGCTGGTTTCCAGCTACCTCAGAGAAAGCTTAAATAACCTCAAACATAGTATTTCACACTGTGATCCCACATTTCTATTCATAAATGAGTCTTTTTGGCCTTAATCGCCTTTCCCCAGAGAGAATATAACGATTGAGATATTTATGAAAAAAGAAAAGGTCTCAATTTTCCACTCAGTTTACACTATTGGTTATTATCAATAATTCATCCTGAAGTTTAAGTTATTACTAGGCTCATGCACTAACCCCTAACATGGCACTACAATATGCTACCAAGCACTAATGCTTACAAAACTATACACATCTCAAAATGGAAGACATTGGTGATTTTGTTGTTCTTAAACAACTTGTAACATTTGTCCACAAGTATTAAAATATACATATATATATTTCTATTGCACATATCCCGTTTTTGTTGAACTTTTTAAAAGAAAAACTGCCAGCTGACATGGATGAGCAAAGGGAAAGAAGCAGGCATATTCCTGCCTAAAATCATAGCTTTTGCCATCAAGAAGGGCCAAAATAGACCGGGGCAGGGTGGGGGTGGGGGATGTAGGTGTATTTAGTAAACCCTGGGCTAGTAAAATTGGCATATACCCATTTTGGTAGATGCCATCTGGTGACAACCATTAAAGATTCAAGAACTTGAAGGAGATCATTCAGCAATGGTTCTTTTAGCTATGAAATAAAAAACACAAAGCAAATGGAGAAGATAAGTCTGCTACATATTCCAACAAGTGGGCCAGAGATGGTTTCAGTGTTGCAGACAGTATAGAGTCCCTATCCCCTGTGCCAAATGACCCTACCCAAAACACTGCAAAAAGGACACAGGGAAGATGGATAACAGACAACAGAAGATAAAGATTCTCAACATACCAATGTGATTCATGTATGCAGGTTCCATTCTATCTTTAACAATTCCAAAATACTAAAGGAAAATATCAGAAAGTTGGCTAAGAAGTTAGAGAAAAATTTGTTACCTTTATCCAAAGTTACTTCTATGCTTTACCACTCAGTATTTGCCCTCAAAGGAAATTATCTCTTATTACATAAGTATTTTACTAAAAAGCTTTCTTATGCCAGTTCCAATAGGTTGACCAATTTAATCATTAAGAATGCTCAACATTTCCCATTTTTGGTCATTTCTATCACTGCTAAATTTTGGTAAATCTGCCCTAAGTTTTTACCATCACAGCATGTATGGCCCTAGGCAAATTCCCTAAATTACAGACATGATTAAGACAATTTGTTCTTAATTGCATCTAAGAAGTTTTAAGTTCTTTCTCACAAAGGCTCATACAGTTTTATTCTTCTTATGTAAAGACCTGACAATTCAGACACTGGTCCTCTGTTGATTTGGAAGCAAGAACAGCTTTACACAATAGTCTGTTCATCACATGGCGTAGGTTTTAAGAGAAAGAAGGAAGATCTGTATTTCTTACTGAACTATCTTTCTTATTTGAGGTTTTTTTCCAGAACCTGAACTTCTTCTAAATCAACCACAAGTTTGGGAACATTGCTTTTGAGGTCCATTCTCTGATGAGAAAGTTCAGTTCCAACTGGGAAAAGTTACCTGAGTCCCAGCCCTGACAGCCTAACATTACTCCTCACCTAGAAAAACCAAACATCCGAGTACCCATCTTGGATCAAAGGAAAAAGGTTATTTATGTTTTTAGAAAAACTGAGCTACAGAATGTAAAATGCCATAAAGTCAGATGGAGCTGCCTAAGGCATTTTTGCTTCTTTTTCTGATGAGAAAGAAATAATATGGAAACTTTTCTCATTTTCCTCCCCATTCCTCCATGTCCAAAGTTGAAGGCAGGTCATACTAAAGGATCCACTAGATTTTCTGAACAGAAAAACCACTTAAGCCACTCTTCTTCCTGCCTTAGCAGCATGGAAAACCAAACCTCAAGTGCTATATAAGACCGCACAAAAATGAATGAAGTAATTTGCAAAATAACAGCTTCTCATCTGAGCTAGATGAACAGGGTTCCATCACTGGACTTGGAGTTGTTTTATTTCCTTTTCCAACCTTTCAGTAAATCCAAGCATGGATTCATGGGGTTAGCAAATGCACAATGTGGTCCTTCTTTAGAAGAATGAAAAATCATTAAAAAATACCAAATGTCCAAAACTTCTGAGACAGAAGTCAACAACAGCTTCCTTCTCTAAGAGTAAAATCCCTCTTCTCATCCAAAATGTAGATTTACACATGTAAAAATGTGTAGTTTACAGAGACTCGGTTAACCTTGCAGGATCTTGTCTTTATGCTTCTTTATCACATCAAAGGTTTTATTGCAAAATTAGACCTTCATTCTTTTCCAGCAAATATATTTCACAAGATGAGTTTAGATATTTAAATATGTAATTTTGAAGCATCTCTTTCATTTCCAATTAGAACATATATTTGAAATTTACTTTTGCAGATTCAACTGTGCCTATGACAGTGGCTGAAACTGGAAGACATTAAAAAAAAAAAAACCTGATGTCATCCATACTTGCTATTTATTTAGTCTTCTTGTTTGGAACAAAAGGTAAAGAATTAAAAAACGCCAACATCTAAGCACCTGTTTCAAATTAAACATCAGCCCCAGCTTCCAAAATAATTTCTTTTTAATTAAGCAAAAGCAGAACATGCATGTCAGTTGCTTCTTTCTTCCTGGAGTGCTCAGCAAGACGGCTGCATCCTAGGAGCTTCTCTATGTTGAATCTGAGAAGTGGAACCAAAGAAAACCAGCCTTTTCCAATCCAAATCATGGAGGTAAAGCATGTAGAGAAGAGATATCCACATTTCAAGAATAGGGAAAGTGGCTGGATAAAAGAAGAAGGACTACCTACTTCAGGAGAAACACACAATACCTGGAAATACAAAATAAATTAAAAACAGGGAGGTTAAGACAGGTACTTCTGCATGAGCTTACTTTTAAAAATAATATTTAAAAACACATAGAAAATATATTTTAGATTTCACATTGTCTAAGTGAAAATGTCCAATAACACCAAATACAGTATTGTCATCAGAAAAGCAGGAGCATTAGTCAGAAAAAATATATAAACACAACAGGAAAAATCAGATTTATATAAAAACTTGTACTATACAACAAGACACACACATATCCATTTCCTATTGTGCAAATGGAGTAATGTGCCTCGTTTTTATAGCCATAAAATGATTCTACACAGAACATTTGTGTTTAAAAGCAAATAAACCTTAAAAAAATAAAAAAATGATAAAAACAGTTGTACTCCCATATTGATATTACCACTTATACTCAAAGCCATATGTATCATCTTACTTTGAAAAAAAAAAAACAACTTTTTTAATGTTTGTTGATTTTTAACACTTTTAATATATTTTTAAAATGTTTTACTTATTTCTGAGAGAGAGAGAGAGACAGACAGACAGACAGACAGCATGAGCAGGGGAGGGTCAGAGAGAGAGGGAGACACAGATTCCGAAGACAGGCTCCAGGCTCTGAGCTAGCTATTGGCACAGAGCCCGACACGGGGCTTGAACCCACGGACCATGAGATCATGAAATGAGCTGAAGCCGGTTGCTCAACTGACTGAGCCACCCAGGCACCCCAATGTTTATTTACTGAGGAGAGAGAGAGAGAGAGAGACAGAGTGCAAGTGATGGAGGGGCAGAGAGAGAGGGAGAGAGAGAATCCAAACCAGGCTCCAGGCTCTGAGTTGTCAGCACAGAGCCCGATATGGTACCTGAACCCACCAACAGCAAGATCATGAGGTAAGCCAAATTGGACGCTTAACCGACTGAGCCACCCAGGCACCCCCATATCATTTTTACTTTGAATTATCTTCAACAACATAAGACTAACAGCGAACAATAAAAATTTTGTAAAATAGGGGCACCTGGGTGGCTCAGTCGGTTAAGCATCTGACTTTGGCTCGGGTCACGATCTCGCAGTTTGTGAGTTCGAGCCCTGCATCAGGCTCTGTGCTAACAGCTCAGAGCCTGGAGCCTGCTTCAGATTCTGTGTCTCCCCCTCTTTCTGCCCCTCCCATGTTCATGCTCTGTTTCTGTCTCTCAATACTAAATAAAAACATTTAAAAAAATTTGTAAAATAAATTACACTCTGTGCAGCATGTGACTCTTCATCTCAGAGTTGTGAATTTGAGCACCATGTTGGGTGTAGAGATTACTTAAGTAAATAAAACTTAAAAAAATTTTTTTTCATAAAATATATCCACAACTAAAACAATGTGTACTATACCACGGTCACCAAACAGAAGTATATAAAAACATCATCAGTTCATTGCTAAACATAACACTTTTTAAACTCCAAATATGTGCAAAAGTAAATGGGACAAACAAAGACAACATTATGTAATTCCTAAAACAGGCAAAGTAGAAGATGGAACTAAGGACTGGGGGTAGTGGGGAGGGGAGTTAATAAATTTCTGCTTGGGATGATTAATAAATTCTGTAAAAAGTGATGTTGGTTATACCACAATATAAACATACTCTTTTAAAAAGTATTTATTTATAAATATACTCAACAATAACACGATTATACATTTAAAGGGTTAAAATGATGTATCTTATGTATTATTTCACAATAAAAACATATAATAAATGCTTATAAAAAGCTGAAATAAATTACTTTAGCTGACAAAAATGGCCAATAGCAACCGGCTAACTAGTCTTCCTAGGCCTCCATTTTTACTAGAGGCCTTTTTATTTCACATAAAAAGAAAATACCTCAATTCTATACTGAATTTGAATAACAAGGTTGAAGACAAGACAAAGTTCTGAATCAAAAACAAAAGAAAATTTTAAATTAACTCTAACATGGGGCACCTGGGTGGCTGAGTTCAGTTAAGTGTCAGACTTTGGCTCAGGTCATAATCTCCCGGTTCTTGAGTTTGAGCCCTATACAGGGCTCTCTGCTTTCAGCTCAGAGCCTGCTTGGGATCCTCTGTCTCCTTCCCCCGTCCCTGCTCTCACGTGCGTGCTCTCTCACTCTCTCAAAAGTACATAATCATGAAAAAAATTCTCTAAAATAAATTAACTTTCCCTATTTGCAGATGACATAATACTGTATATAGATTTTAAAAAACCTGGAATGCCAGGGTAGCTCAGTTGATTGAGTGTTTGACTTCTGCTCAGGTCATGATCTCAAGGTTCATGAGTTCGAGCCCCACATCAGCTCTCTGCTATGGGCACAGTACCAACTTTGGATCTTCGGTACCCCACCCCTGCCCTCCTCTGCCAATAAGCATTAAAAAGTAATAATAAATGCAAAACTACTTTTCTGAAGAAAAAAACCATCCTAAAGACTCCACCATAAAACTACTTGAATGTTATATGAATTCAGTAAAATCTCAAGATACAAAATCAACACATAGAAATCTGTTGCCTTTCTATACAGTAATAATAATATATAGTAATAATAATGTACCATAGTAATATTTAGTAATAATGAAGGAGCAGAAAGAGTAATTAAGAAAACAATCCATTTACAGTTGCATCAAAAAAAATCAAGTACTGGGGCCCCTGGGTGGCTCAGTCGGTTAAGCATCCAACTTCAGCTCAGGTCATGATCTCACAGTTTGTGAGTTCAACCCCACATCACGCTTTGTGCTGATGGCTCAGGGCCTGGAGCCTGCTTCAGATTCGGTGTCTCCCTCTATCCCTGTACCTCCCCTGCTCACACTCTGTGTCTCTCAAAAATAAATAAACATTAAAAAAAAAATCAAGTACCTAGGGATAAAAAGAGGTGAAAGACCTATACTCTGAAAACTATGAAAGGGTGATAAAAGAAACTGAAGAAGACACAAAGAAATGAAAAGACATTCCATGCTCATGGACTGGAAGAACAAATGTTGTTAAAATGTCTATACTACACAAAGCAATCTATAGATTTAATGCAATCACTATCAAAATACTAACAGCATTTTTCAGAGAACTAGAACAAAGAATCCTAAAATATATATGGAACCATAAAGGATCCTAAATAACCAAATCAATCTTGAAAAAGAAAAGCAATGGCGCCTGGGTGGCTCAGTCAGTTGAGCGTCTGACTCTTGATTTCAGCTCAGGTGATAATCTCACACCTCATGAGACAGATTCCCATGTCGGGTCCTGTGCTGACAGTGCAGTCTGCTTGGGATTCTCTCTCCCTCTCTTTCTACCCCTCCCCTGCTCATGATCTGTCTCTCTCTCTCTCTCTCTCTCAAAAGAAATAAACTTAGGAAGGAAGGAAGGAAGGGAGGGAGGGAGGGAGGAAGGAAGGAAGGAAAGCAAAGTTGAAGGCGTCACAATTCCAGATTTCAAGTTTTATTAAAAGCTGTAGTAATCAAAATGGCATGGTACTGCCATGCACAAAAATAGATCAATGGAAGAGAAGAGAAAACCCACAAATATACCCACGATAATATGGTCAACTAATCTTCAACAAAGAAATATCCAATGGAAAAAAGTCTCTTCAATAAGTGGTGTCAGGAAAATTGGACAGCTACATAGAAAAGAATGAAACTGGACTCTGTGTGTGTGTGTGAGCACACACGTGCACAAGCTGGGGAGCAGAAAAACAGGGAGTCAGAGAGAATCTCTGTGCGGAGGCTGATGCGGGGCTCGAACTCATAAACTGTGAGATCATGCCCTGCACTGAAGTCAGATGTTTAACCCACTAAGCCACCCACATGCCCCTGGACCACTTTCTTACACTATACATAAAAATAAACTCAAAATGTATTGAAGACCTGAAATCATGAAATTCCTTGAAAAGAATAATAATTTAAATGACATCAACCGTAGCAACACTTTTCTACGTAGGTCTCCTACAGCAAGGAAAATAAAAGCAAAAATAAACTATTGGGACTATATCCAAATTAAAACCTTCTGCAGAGCAAAAGAAATAACAAAACAAAAAGGTTCCATTCCTACCTACTGAATGGAAAAATTTATTTGCAAATGACATATCTGATAAAGAGTTAGGGTCCAAAATATATGAAGAGGAGCGCCTGGGTGGCTCAGCCGGTTAAGCGTCCGACTTCGGCTCAGTTCATGATCTCGCGGTTCGTGGGTTTGAGCCCCGCGTTGGGCTCTGTGCTGACAGCTAGCTCAGAGCCTGGAGCCTGTTTCAGATTCTGTGTCTCCCTCTCTCTCTAACCCTCCCCTGCTCATGCTGTCTCTCTCTCTCTCTCTTTCTCTCTCTCTCTCTCAGAAACAAATAAAACATTAAAAAAATTTTTTTTTAAATATATATCAAGAATTGATACAACTCAACACACCAAAGAAACAATCCAATTTAAAAAATGCTAAGCAAAATAAATCAGAAGACAAAAAACTTGTGATTTCACTCATATATGGAATTTAATAAACAAAATAAATTAGCAAAGGGAAAAAAAGAGAGAGAGAAACCAAGAAAGACACTTAACTATCAAGAACAAACTGATGGTTACCAGAGGGGAGATGGGTGGCGGGACAGGTGAAATAGGTGACAGGGTTTAAGGAGTGCATGTGCAGTGATGATCACTGGATGATGCATGAATTGCTGAGTTACTATACTGTAAATCTGAAACTAATACTGTATATTAACTATTCTGGAATTAAAATAAAGGCAAACATAAATTAATTCAGAATCAAATCAGGAAGAAGAGAATTACAGAATCTGCACTGTTGCAAAAGTAGAAGTAAGAGTAAAAAATACAGAAGAACCACAGAAGGGCTGTTAGAAAAACACCATGAGCAACAGAGCTGTTTCATTATATAAGCTTACTCAGGCTAATTCAAAGCTTGCATTAGCCATTAGACTGTTCTGTAGTTCAATTCTAATCACAAGATAACTGGTAGTAATGCTGAGGGGACAAGAAGATAGAAGCTAGTTCTTTCCAGAAGTAAATATGCTCAAAGAATTCTATGCAAACCAAGCACCAAAGAAGCCTTTAAAAAGAGCACCTTTTCTGGGAATGCAAACTGGCACAGCCACTCAGGAAAAGTATGGAGGTTCTTCAAAAAATTAAAAATAGAACTACTCTATGACCTAGCAATTGCACTATTAGATATTTATCCAAGGAATACAGGTATGCTGTTTCGAAGGAGCACATGCACCCTAATGTTTATAGCAGCACTACCAGCAATAGCCAAAGTATGGAAAGAGCCCAAATATTTATCAATGGATGAATGGATAAAAAAGATGTGGTATATATATATGATAGAGTATTCTTCAGCAATCAAAAGGAATGAAATCTTGCCATTAGCAACTACGTGGAGGGAACTCGAGGGTATTTTGCTAAGTGAAATTAGTCAGTCAGAGAAAGACAAATATCCTACAGCTTCACTCATATGAAGACTTTAAGATACAAAACAGATGAACATAAGGGAAGGGAAGCAAAAATAATATAAAAACAGGGACAGGGACAAAACATAAGAGACTCTTAAATACAGAGAGCAAACAGAGGGTTGCTGGAGGGGCTGTGGGAGGGGGGATGGGCTAAATGGGTAAGGGGCTTAAGGAATCTACTGAAATCATTGTTGCATCATGTGCTATCTAACTTGGATGTAAATTATAAAAAATAAAGAAAGAAAAAGAATGAAAGAAAAAAAAGAAAGAAAAGCACATTTTCTTAATAGGAAACTTACATAGATTGCTTTAGAAACAAATTCCTTCAAGGGCGCCTGAGTGGCTCAGTCAGTTAAGCGACAGGCTCTTGATTTCTGCTCAGGTCAGGATCTCACAGTTCATGGGTTCAAGTCCCGTGTTGGGCTCTGCACTGTTAGTATAGACCCTGCTTGGGATTCTCTCTCTCCCCTCCTCTCTGTGACCCTCCCCTGCTCATGCTCTCTCTTTCTCTCTCTCAAAATAAAGAAAATTAAAAAAAAAAATTCCTTCAGCAATACCTAATAAAAAGTATAGGGGTGCCTAGGTGACTTGGTCAGTTAAGTGCCTGACTGGTTGCTACTGCAGTATAGTAGTTGGTGTCAAAATAGTGACCAACTGAATGAGAAGGAAGTGACAGTGAGGAACTTCTGAGACAAGGTCACAGAGGGGTTGTGGCTTCTACATTGTCCTCCTGGGGTGCTTATTCTGGGAGAAGCCAGATGCTATGGACATTTAAGCAGCCTTAGAAGAGCTGACACTGGAAGGGATGGAGGCTTTCCACCACAAGCATAAATTTATCAGCCATGTGAATGAGCCATGATGGAATTAGATAACTGTCACCCCAGGCAATATCTTGACAGCAACATTAAAAAGAACTCAAGCCAGAGTTCTTACCCCAGCTAAACTGCTCTTTAAGTCCTGACCCACATAAACTGTGAGAGATAAAACATGTTTACTGTTGTTTTAATCCACTAAGTTTTAGGTAATGTGTTATGCATCAATAAATAACTAATATACTTTATTTCCTCAAGGACAGGAAGAATGATGTATCATGGGAGTTTAATACTCCTTTCTTACTTTGCTATGTAACTTCAGAACACATGTTACAAAATACAATGGATATCCTTAATGTTCCTTTTTTTTTTTTTTTAATGTTTATGTTTGAGAGAGAGCAGGAGCACAAGTGGGGGAGGGGCAAAGAGAGAGGGAGACAGAATTTGAAGCAGGTTTCAAACTCTGACCTATTAACAAAGAGCCTGATGCTAGGCTTGAACTCACATGCATTAGATTATGACCTGAGCTGAAGGAGGACGCTTACCTGACTAAGCCACCCAGGTGCCCCAGTAGTTGGAATTTTTATGAACCTTTTAAAAATTTTTTTTATTGTGGTAAAATACACATAATATAAAATTTATCATTTAACCCTTTTTAAGTGTTAAGTTCAGTGGTATTAAGTACATTCATATTGTTCTGCAAGCATCACCACCCCAACCATCTCAACTTTTTTCATTTGCAAAACTGAAACTCTGCCCCCATTAAATAATAACAACTCCCAATTTCCCTTCCTGAAGTTCCTGGCAACCACCATCCTACTTTCTGTCTCTATGATTTGACTATTCTTAAGTACCTTTTATAAGCAGTACATAATACTTTAACCCTTAAGGCAGCTGTACATTGAATGATCCCATGTAATACAATCAAGGTATACCACTAAGTAGATGTTCTCAGTAGAACTGTGTTCTCCCCAAATTCATAAATTGAAATCCTAGTACCCACTCCCTCAAAATGTGATCTTATTTGGAAAAAGAATCATTGGAGATAGAATTAGTTAAAATGAGGTAATATTGGGGGCATCTGGGTGGCTCAGTTAGTTGAGTATCCAACTCTTGATCAGCTTAGGTCATGATCTCAGAGTTCTCAGATCAAGCTCTCCACTGAGCTTGGCACCTACTTGGGATTCTCTCTCCCTCTCTCTGTCCCTGCCTGCTCCACATACACATGCATGCTCTCTCTCTCTCAAAAAATAAACAAACATTAAAATAAAGTCATACTGGGGTGCCTGCTGTCTCAGTATGTTAAGCTTTCAACTTTGGCTCAAGTCATTATCTTGCTATTCGAGAGTTCGTAACCTGTGACCGGATCTGTGCTGACAGCTCAGAGCCTGGAGCCTGCTTCTCTCTCTGCCCCTCCCCCACTCACACTTTGTCTCTCTCAAAAATAAACATTTAAAAAATAAAATAAAAATAAAATAGATGAGGTCCTACTGAAACAGAGTGGCTCCTAATCTAACATGACTGGTATTCTCGTAAAAGAATTTAGGACACAGACACACAGGGAGAATGCCATCTGAAGACTGGAATTATGCTACCACGAGCCAAGGAACCAACAAAAATTATAAACACATCCTTCCCTAGTACCTTCAAAGGAAATATGGTCCTGGGGTGCTTGGGTGGCTCAGTCAATTAAGTGTCCGACTCTAGATTTCAGCTCCGTGATGGTCTCATGGTTCTTGAGATCAATACCCATGTAGGGCTCTGCACTGACAGCAAGAAGCCTGCTTGGGATTTTCTCTCTCCCTCTCCCTGCCCCTACCCCTGTCCCTCTCTCTCTCTCAAAATAAATAAATAAGCTTAAAAATATAATAAACTATAAAATTTGCCTAATAACATTTATATTTTACCAGCTGCTCTTCAATCTAATTAAGTCTGTACCTTTTTTCTTTATCCAATAAAAATTACTAGTTTGGGCAAATGATCACTTCTAGTCACTTGTGATGTTCACTTTCTGCTGAAGCTTACTGTTCCACTTCTATCTAGCTAGTTTTTTAAACAGTACCTGGAAGCATTAGCCACTATTACTCACTTGCCAAATCCTGAGTTCAGAATTTTATTTTCTTCTCAAGATGAATATAAGAGCACCTGGAAGCCAAAGAAAATGTTCTTCCTGTGAAAAGGAAAAATAAAGAAGAACATTATAGAAGGGATATAGCCCTTGTGCTATATGCCTCTGGGGGCAAAACTATTCAAATAAACCAATGTGTTTAAAAACAACACCACTATCAAGAACTACTCAAAAGGAATAGTCAGAAAGAAATTACTCTCTATCTGCACTGGCCCTCATTTTATACAGATTTTATAATTTTGACTAATTTCAAAACACTTGGTTCAGTGGTTCTCAGGCTGCCATGGAACACTGCTCTCACTGAGAATCTGATGATGCTATGGTCCCTCTTCTCAGAAAAGACCTGTGCTTTACTATAGATGACCACACCCCTCTTTTAAGGTAGGAAGGAACAATGTTCTGTTCCTTTCCTCCGCCCCATACGTCTTTCTTCTTCTAAATTAAACTGTAGAGGGAAAAAAACAAAAACAAAACCTCCTCACAAAAGCAAGAGAAAAGTCCCCTTTAGAAGCCATTTCTTTACCTGATATTTCCAGCTTTGCTAAATCAAGGGCCAGCAAAGAGCACACCAGAAACATTCATATTATGACATGTCAGTGGAACTGATCCAACTAACGTGTCAATTGTTAACAGGCTTCACGAATTCGGAAACCTACTTGTTAGGTAACTTTCGAAGAATTTTACTGAAAGACCGAATGAGTGGTTATAAAAATCCATATTACAGAGAGCCCAGAAACAAGAACCGAATACTGACAGTATTAAACTTCGCGACCCCACCACTTTACACAAATTACGTTCCAGTAATATTTCCCCAAACTCTCATTCTCTCTATAAAAGAAAAACAAATAAAAATTGTACACTCTATTAGCTCTGGAAAAACAACGGCGAATTCTACCAAGACACAGAGTCAGCCGGGATTAATGCGCCATTAAGCAATTACCAGGTCATGCAAGGACAAAGGTGCATACTCGCATCTTTAAAAAGTTGGAGAGATGAGAGTGGGAACGAATGGATAGGTAACAAGAGAACGTGAATGATACACACAAATTAAATCCCGGGGAGGGGCACTTATTACACCAAATCTCAAGGTCAATGGAGAAGGGACACAAATTACTCAAGGCCGCAACAAGCCTCAATAGATGTCGGAGACTCACGCAACAGTGGGCAGGAAGCCGTGAGGCAAGGGATAGAAATCAATAAAGTAAACATATTCTTTTAAAGATAAACCTCTGCACAACGCAGCGGCTGGCAGATATACACCCGCTTGGGTGCAATCACCGGGGAATAAGCCGAAAACACAGAGGCAGCCAAAAGGAACTGAGAAGAACTGCGGCGTGCCGAAGACTAAGTGTCGGTGCGACACACCCCTGAAGGCTTGTACTGCCGCCCTGAGACAGCGCGGAAAGAAACCCGTGTGGAGCCGAGGCCCGTGCCAGCTGTAGGGAGGCTCTCCGCGGTCTGCCGGTCTGGGCCACGTCACCTCCTGCTAGTTCCCTCATCGCTGGCTTTCTCGGCTTACCTCGCACCAGCCAGCAGAAGCACTCGACCTTCCGGGGGCCTTCCCGCCCCCGGCCCAGAGGCCGCCTCGCCGCGGTGCACCTCACTCCGCCATCTTCACTCCTTCCCTAGTCCACCAACCCTGCGGTAGCCGTTTCCGCAAGTCCCGCCTCCGCGTCTGCCGCTAAGTTCTCACTGGATAAAGACTTGCGCAAGCGCTCTCTTTTCCCGCTGTAGGTTGGATGGAATGCACGTCAATCAATAGCGCCGGCCCATCTCTTTTCGATCTCTCTTTTTGTCGGATTGGGTCCCAGGGTTGAGGTAATAGGAAAAACGTTTTTGTAATTCACTTGTTAGGAATGTAAAATTATTTCCACGTAGAAGCTGTGTCATTTCGTGGAAATGTAGTCTGGTTAGGCCGTATGACTTTTTAAAGCCACTGTTAGGTTCAACTATACTGCTAATAATTTCATTCTCGGGCTGGGATCTTTTAATCCTGTGCATAACACCACGCCTAGGCAGACAATTTAGTAGTTCCAGTTTCTATCAGACTCTGACCCGTTTCGATTCCTAAAGGGTTCAAACGTCAGACCGCCGTTTACAGCTCTGGTCAGTACACGAAAGCAGATTAGCATCCTTCTGCCTAATGTCATAACGTTCTAACTGACAGTTTTGTTGCTTCCTACACTCAGCTGCAGGGCTCTTCAGATCCTTTCTTCAAGGATTGTTCTAGGAGAGGCGGGTAGGATAATTGGAAGTTACTCTTAGGCTGTGCGACCGGCGGCTCCTGTGTAGGAGATGTAGGTCCTCAAACACCAGTAAGACTGTCAAAAAGGGCTGCTTTGGGGAAGAACGGATTCCTAAGGTTGAGATCCTTCCTGAGATCCATTTTCCAAAGTCCTCGGACGAGGCCAAGGACTTATTTTTACAGAAACTTATAAAGGGCAACTACGGGAAAACCTATAGTTAATACCAGACCTAATGGTTAGACTTCATACTTTCCCTTTAAGATCAGAAACAAGGCAAGGACACAGGATCTCTTCACCTCTATTCAGCATGGTATTGGAGAGTGTAGACAGTGCCAAAAGGCAAGCAAACAAAAGGCATCCAGACTGCAAGAAATAAAACCAGCTTTATTTGCAGGTGACATGATCCTCTGTGGTAAATCATAAGGAGTACAAACACAGCAAAAAACAAAAGCAAGACTAATGGAAGTTGTATGTTTAGTAAGATTGCGGTCTACAAGATCAGTATACAAAAATCAACTTATTTCTCAGCACTAATAACAAAATGAAATTAGGGGCGCCTGGGTGGCTTAGTCGGTTAAGCGTCCGACTTTCGCTTTGGTCATGATCTCGCGGTTCGTGGGTTCGAGCCCCGCTTCGGGCTCTGTGCTGACTGCCAGCTCAGAGCCTGGAGCCTGTTTCAGTCTGTGACTCCCTCTCTCTCTGACCCTCCCCTGCTCACGCTGTCTCTCTCTCTCTCCTAGAAATAAATGAAAAACATTAAAAAAATTTTTTTAAATGAAATTAACACATTCACAATATCACCAAAAAGAATAAAATACTTAGGAAAAAATTTAGTAAAACAAGTCCAAGATTTATATACCAAAAATATAAAACACAGTGAGAGAAATTAAGATCTAAAAAAGTAAAGAGACTTCATGTTCATGGATTGTTAGACACAATATTAAGATAACAATTCTCAAACTGATTAGATTCAATGCAATACCTAACAAAATCCCAGTACTCTTTTTTTTTTGGTAGAAACTAACAAGCTGATAGTAAAATGTATAAGGAAATATAAAAGTCCCAGAATAGTTAAGACACGTTTGAGAAAAAAAGTCAGAATTACACTACCAGATTCAAATCTGACTACAAAGCTACAGTTACTGGGACAGTGTAGTAGTCATGAGGATAGGCCTACAGAATCTGTAGAACAGAATTGAGAGTCCAGAAACCTTTATATTTATAGTCAAAATTTAAGTTCATTTTCTTTGAGAGAGAAAGTGTGAATTGGCAGGGGCAGAGAGAGGGAGGGAAAGAGAATCCTAAGCAGGCTCCTCACTGTCAGCACAGAGCCCAATGTGGGGGTAGAACCCACGAAGTGGGAGATCATGACTTGAGCCGAAGTTGGATGCTTAACTGACTGAATCACCGAGGCACCCCTATAGTGTTTCTGACCAAGATCCCAAGATAATTTATTGAGGAAAGAGTAATCTCTATTTATTTATTTATTTAATTTATTTTTTAGAGAAAGAGAGATAGCGAGCACGAACAGGGGAAGGGCAGAGAGAGAGGGAGGCACGATCCGAAGCAGGTTTTAGATTCTGAGCTGTCAGCACAGAGCCCAGCGTGGGGCTCAAACTCATGGACTGTGAGATCATAACCTGAGCCAAAGTCACACACTTACCCAACTGAGCCACCCAGGCACCCCTAGGATAGTCTCTTCAATCCAGGATATTGGCAGGATCGACTGATATATAGCTCAGGTATTAAAATATTAAAATACTTCCACACTTGCTCTAGACTACCATTGTCCCATACCCAAGTTTTCCTTGCCTGCCTCTTCTTACACTCAGGACCCTCTCAGACATACCCTCTATCCAGCAACTGAAGGGTTTACTGCTCAGCACAGCAGAAGATCTCTAGCACTCAGCTTTAACCATACATTCTGACAGATCAGTGCAGTACTAGCTAAAAAATATTTTGAAAATCATTCCCCAATATAGACAGTTTTCTTCTAGGGCACAGGCAAATAGAAAAGAACCAAACACAAGACCATAATAGAGTGTCCAGAGGGATTATACAGAGTGTTGCTCATTTATTTCCTCTTCCTAACAATTATTCCCTTCATGTTTAAAAAGTCTGCAGATACACCTGTGTGTGTTCCTAAAAACAAATAAACATACACACACAAAAACAAAAACATAAAAAGTTCTTTTGTAAAATACTGTTATACATACATAGAGAACCTAGTAATTATGTTATGAACCAATTAGGCAGGAATTCTAGATCATCTAGGTAAACCTCTTATAATTTAGTAATTCTGCAAGATTCCTAACAAAAATGTTCATTCAAGATTTTGGTTAAGCAATTCTAGCAACTAAGCGCTAGAGAATGCACTAGTATTGGCGATAACCTGTTCCTCATTTGAATAGTATTATAATTATTAAGAAATTCTTTCTTGGGGCACTGGGCTGGCTCAGTCAGTAGAGCATGTGATTCTTGACCTAGGGGTTGTGAATTTGGGTCCCATGTTGGGGGTAGAGATTACTTAAAAATAAATTAAAATTTAAAAAATGAATTCTATGGTTGCATGGTTGGCTCAGTCAGTCAAGTGTCTGACTCTTGACTTTGGCTCAGGTCATGATTTTACAGTTCATGAGTTTGAGCCCCATGTTGGGCTCTGCATTGACAGCATGGAGCCTGCTTGGGATTCTCTGTCTCCCTCTCTTTTGGTCCCTCCTCTCTCTCTCTCTCTCTCTCAAAAATAAATATTTTTAAAAATTCTTCCTTACAATAAGGTGGAACCTATAACCCTACCACTTCCATCCACTATTAATAAATCTTATATATAATGCTTAACGTGTCAGGCACTCATTTGATCCTCGTAACAACCTATGAAGTTGATACTGTGATAATTATCATCTTAACAGTTGAGGAAAGAGACACAAGGGATTTGTGAATCGTTCAAGTTCATGTACCTGATTAAGTGGCAGGACCAGGATTTAAATGCACCGAATCAGTTTCCAAAGGCCATGCTCTTTTTCTCCTCCCAAAGTCTATGCTCTTAAATTCTACATTAAACCTAATTTTGCCATCTAGAAAAATAACAGTAGAGCCTTTCAAGGATATATCCTTAACTACCTGGATATAGCAACTTTCTCTTCTCTTCTCTACGTTAAAGCTTCAGTTCCTACAACTGCCCAAGACAGTAAGTTGTCCTGAACCCCTCACCATATTGCTTCTTGGGAATACATCATTTGTCCATGTCCTTAAAAGGTGATGGTCTTTGGGGCTCCCAACTGGCTCAGTTGGAAGACCATGTGACTCTTGATCTTGGGGTTGTGAGTTTGAGCCCTACATGGGGTGTAGAGTTAAATAAATAAAACTTAATACACAGATGTCTCTTTTTTGCCGTCTCTCTTTTTGGCTTAAATATAGAAATTGATACTTATCTTTATTAAAAATCTTGATTGCTGGGGTTGCCTGGCTGGCTCAGTCAGAGGAGCATATGACTCTTGATCTCAGGGTTGTAAGTTCAAGCCCTATGTTGGGTGTAGAGATTACTTAAAAATGAAATCTTAAAAAAAATTCTAGGTTGCTGGAGAGTAAAATGATTAAAAGTATGGACTCTGCAATCAAGAGTTCCTAGGCTGGAATCCAGCCCTACCACACTAACTAGCTGTGTGACTTTGATCTTGGGAAAAAAATCATTTAGCTTCTCTGTGTCAATCCCTTCACCTGTAAAATGGTGATTATAATGATAACTTGCCTCCTATGGTCGCTGTGGGGATTTAACATCGGTCACACATACAGAACAGTAGCTTGCGTGCAGTAAATGCCACATAAATATTATTGATTGAACACAAACTCTTAAGATGATTTAGTCTCTATTCTTTGATGGAGGGAATTGTATTAACCATTTTTACAGCTTTATGTTATTTTAAAAAATTTAGTAAACATCACACTTTTATGTCTTTGTCCTTGGATGCTATAAAGGAGTAGATGACAGAAAAGTGCATGGCACGGCAGGACAGATTTTCCTTAAGTCTAATACTTTTAAATCTTTTATTTTGAACAGCTATATTGAGATACAATTCACATACTATACAATCCACCCATCTGAAAAGTACAACTCATACTACAACCCCTTATTATATTATATAATTGAATTTTTCTGGATTCAGTTGAGAGTGTTATGTGGAGTTTTGTATCACTTGCTTTTCTAACTATATACAAATATTAATTTGATAAGAATAAAAATTGCGTTAGAAAAAAATTACAACTCAATGGCTTTTAGAATATTCACAAAATTGTGCATTCATCAACACAATTTTAGAATATTTTCATTACTCGAAAAAGAAACCCCATATCTCCTGGCTGTCACTCCCCAATCTCCCATCCTGGCCCTGGAATCATACAGTATT